TCCCTGGCCCACGCTCTCCCAGCTGCCGCAGCTCAGAGACTGAGAGCCAGGGCTGTGCATCCGGATCCCCACGTTGGATAGCCACAAACCGCAGATCCCGGTGGACGGAGCCGGTTCCTTTTCACCCCGTGGTTTATTATGCATGAGCAGGAGAAGCGCTGCTTTGTTGAAAACCTGCTGCCTACTGAGCTCACTGGGTGCTCCTCGGGTCTCCAGTTGTGGGCAGCAGTGCCCAAACATCTGCCCAGGTCACTTGAGGGACCTGTGTCCTGCCCTGGTGGACACTGCCTGCGCTGGAGAGTCCTGGGCACTGGACGTGTGGCCAGGGATGTTTCCCATGGGTGCTTCTCACGGGGTTTTGACAGCAAATTGGATTTTCCTGTTTATCAGAAGATCCTTTTGCAACTCCTGTAGACAGCTTTGTGTTTGCTGGGGCTGAGCAATGATCTCCCCAGAGCAAACTCTGTTCCTAATCCCATTAGTGCCTGGGCTCTGATCTCCAGGGCGTCTCCGTTTTGTGTTCAGACGCAGCCTGATGTTGCTGTGCCTTGTTCTCATCAGCTGTAGAAAAGCCTCAACATTTTAATCCTCCTTCAGCCCGTGCGTCAGCGGAGTCAGCAGTGATGGGGTCAGCAGTTCAATCACACGTCGTGTAAAATAGGATTTCATTTATCTGGAGATGCCACGTTGGGCTTGGCTCTGTCTCGGTGCCAGCTCCCTGCTGCAGACCGCGCAAAGGCAGAGGTTGGGAGATGGTGTTTCGGGGCCATCTGCGCACTTCTTGGGGTTTGCGTCTCCTATCCTTGATCTCCTCCCCCTGTGTTTTACTTGGCGCTGCTGCAGATGGAGCAGAGGTTTTCTCTGCAGCAGCCCGGGCTCCAGGTCCCTTCCCCAGCAGCGATGCTGGATCCAGACGGGGCAGCGGGGCTGGGTCTGGTTGGGGTTGGGGTTGGGGTTTTCTGCCCCTGCTCTGTGTTCATCCGTGCCGGGTTTTGAGTCTCATCCATTCCTCCACTATTTTCCCCTGAAGGTCTCTGGTGTCTGTGGGGTTGAGGAACCCGATGTTTCTTTGTCTCTGTGTTTCTCCACCTCACAGGCGTTTTGCAGCCCTTTGTGCTGCAGAGCCTGTGTTAAAACCACCTCAGCCATCCACGGGTCCATGGGGGCGAGGGGATAAACATCTTCAGTGGGAACAAACCAACAGCAAGCTTTGGTAACTGTGCTTTCCTTCAGGAACTGGATCGACTGCCCAGAACCTCTGCCGAGTTTTACAGAGATTGGCGCAGATGCTTGAAAAGCAGCAAAGAAAAATACCAACTTCTGCTGGAGCTCGGGGGACAGGCCCTGGGCAGGATCTTTCAGGCTGACCTGGGCTTTGGCCTCCTGGGGGAGTTCCTGGTGGTGCTGGCAGAGAACACCCACCACCAGCACAGAGAAGCCGTTCTCCAGATCCTGCAGAGCCTGTCGGGCACCAAGCGCTTCGGGTTAAACGTGGATCTTCTGAGCGAGTCGGAGAAGGAGAGCGGCAGGGATTTGTTTAGGAAGCTGCGGAGCATGAGCAGGGACCAGGGCAGCGCTGGCCATCCCAGTGGCCCTGCTGGCTGTGGAGCGGAGAGGGAAGCCCCCCTCATGGACAGCAGCTTGCGGAAGGACACGGAGGAAAGGATGGTGATGGAGCTGATGACACGTTACCAGGTCAACTGAAAGAGCGAAGCACCGGGGTCGTGCAGAAGCTGAATACTAAAGAGGCTCCACGCTTGACTTTGGCACCAGACGTTGTGCGAGACAGAGAAATGGGATATTTCTGGAGTGTTGCTGTTCATTTCCCTGGTTCTGGGAGCCTCCCAGAGCTGTGGTTCTGTACAAATAAAGGCTGCTACCGAGAGGACGTGTTGTGATCTCTGGGGCAGGGTGTCCTCACCGAGCAGCTCTGTCAGAATCTCTGACGTGAGGAGAACAAGCAAGGGAGAGAAAAACCAGGCTGGTGTTTTCGAAAGAGAAACCAAATCCCAAAGAGTCCCTTCCCTTTCTCAGCTCTGTCCGTTGTCACCATGGGGTTTTAGGGCATGGAATCAGTGACACTTCATGTTTACCCCTGCAGCCGCCAAAGGGGCTGATGGAGGTGGCGATGCTGCGCAAGGTGGTGCATCTGGGACTGCCCCAACCAGCCCCTTTGCTGCTGTTCTACCCCAACCAGCAAGGCATGGGGGTGAACCTCCGAGATGAGGTCCCCTCATGGCTCTGTGATGTCACACACCGGCTGGTTTGCTGAAGTTCCGCGTACATTGAGATGCAGGCGGAGCTGGCAGACACCACCACACAGAGACTCTCCGGGATCCCGTGTCTGCAGTGAGTGACCTTCCTGTCTGGGCTGCAGCCCGAGGCCCTGATCCACCGCAGCTCAGCACCCCCCAGGCTCCCCTGCAGTTCTGCTCTGGGAGGATCCTCGAGCTCCTCGCAACGGTGCTGAGGAGCCCGGTGTGCGTTGCTGTGCTCAGAACCCCTGAATTCAGCTCAAACCCAACCATCGGGTCCGTTTTGTTGCAAAACCCGGCTAAAGGAGCCAGAGTCACCCTGGCAGACTGAAACCAGCCCGCTCCCTCCTTCTCTGTAGAAACCACCAGGCACCCAATTGCTTCTGTGGTTCTGTGATTCTCCTCTGCAGCCCGGCACTTGAATGCAGGGCTCTGTGACATCTCCCCTGGGGACGTCTGTGTCCCTGCAGGCTGTTGTGGTGCCGTTCCTCGTGCCTTTGCGTGACGCTCGCCAATCTCCCATCGCTGCATCTTCCCTCTGCGGCTGCACCCAAGCCCTGCCCGCCCGTTGTCCAGGGAGCAGACAGCTCCGCTCCGGAGCACGGGGAGAAGAGCAGAGGTTCCAGAGCCGCGCCCCAGGAGACCAGCGCTGGGCTGGCACGGGGCACTGCAGGGGACACGGGGGCCAGGTTGGCTCTGCTCCTGCAGAG